CTAAAATTTTTTAAGATTTTCAAAGTTGTCTAATTTAGACAAGAAGTTATTCAAGTACTTGATTTTCCTTTTGAAATTTGTTTTTAGAAATCAAGATGTAATTAAAATTGGAGTTTTTTTTTTTATAAGGACAATGGTTAATAAATTAGTAGTGTTAGATATTAGTAACTGGAGATTCGATCTCCAAATTGAGTGAACAGCTCACTTGCCTTAAATGAGGCGTGCGGGTCATTGAACCACTTGGTGGAGTTCAATTAAAATTGGAGTTTAGTTTAACTACAAGAACCATAAAAGCAATGTATCTGCAAAACTAAGCAAAGCAAAATTACAACTTGCAATACTAAAATTGAACACGATCGTTTCTGGGCAATGAATGAATGAAATAGTATAAATTCTAACATCCTAGTTTTAATGTTAAAAATGACGTGATAAATTAAACCAATAAATCAAATTAAAACCATAAAATAGAATATGATTCAAAACCTAAGCGTTTTCACGATCAAAGCCACATAGAAATCAACCCAAATCCTGTGTAAAAATAAAGTAAGTTTAGAGTCAATAAAAAAAAAAAAAAAATCAAGCAAGTTTAGTTTTGACAAAACTCACCAAATTGATGCTGGAAAAACAACTTTGGCAGAGAAAGAAGAATTCTACAAAGATGCAAGGTGACACGGGAATCAAAACTGAAGTGAGCAACTGGGCTTCAATGAGATTTAGAATTAAGAATTAAGTTAAACTCCTTTTATAAATCGTCACCCATAAAATATAAAGTTATAAGTATAGAGGTTTATAGAGTAAATGTGCAAATAAGGATTTTAACTTTGCACTTTCTTCTATTTAAGGATGTTAATTTTGTTAGTTTCTAAATAAGGATGTCAACTTTCAATTTTTTTCTAAATAAGGATGTTAATTTTGTCAATTTTTAAATAAGGATATCAACTTTCAACATTTTCTATTTAAGGATGTCAACTTTCAATTTTTTCTATTTAAGGATTAATTGAATAGTAATGTTGACGTG